TTTTTATATACAATATTGTTTTGGCAGTGTAAAAAACGGTCAAATAGCCATTTACTATGAAAGTAGATATTATAGCAGAGTGGGTGAGGGATGGAACTTAAAAGAGTTCCATGACTAGTTTCTAGTGACTCATCATCTATAGTCAAGTCGTTTTCCATGAATATTACAGAATTAAATCCAAAAGATAAATAATGACTTATTTAAAATTTTCCGAAGAATGACATATCCAGTACATGACTAGTTTCTAGTGACTCATCATCTACTAGCTAGTGATTTGTCACTCAGAAATATACTATAGTGACTTAAGTTCAGTTACTTGCATGTGCACAGTTACTAGTCATATTTTGGCCCGAAAAATAACTAGTCATATTATTGTTTGAGAAAACTCTGTTCGTAATATACATGCCATTTTTTCTTCACTTAAAATTGTGAATTCGAGTTAAAACAACTGAATTGACTAAATTTACTAAGTTGTGAAAAATACATTTTATTGATAAAGTAAAGTAAAAATTATATGTAAAAGCTATAGTAGTCCTCTTTGATAGAACACATACACATGCATACGTGAGCCGAACTTCACTCCAACGGATAGCATCAATATTTATCATGTACATTTATTTGATATTATCCTATTGTACAGCTATGTAGCAGAGTTATCATTAGCTCCGTAGGTATCTCGGTTATTCAACTGATTCGTTGAATAGAAGAGTCCCATGCGGACGTCTTACTCTACCGATAATACTTGTACAACTCCTATATATTGAAGGGATGCGAAAGGCATCATTACGGTGAAACTATTCCTTCTAACTTGGTATCAGATTTCTTCGATCCTACTCTCTTTCTCTATGGCTTCACCACAGAAATCTTCCTTTCATCCGGCACTTGCCGTCACTTCCATTAAAAATCTTATTCCTCTTACCCTTGACACCGAGAATGTCCAATACTCGTCCTGGGCGGAGCTTTTCAAACTCACCGCCCGCGCCTACGACGTTCTCGATCATATCCTTCAGGCCAACTCCGCTGCCCAGCAGCTCCACCCTCACGGCGTCCTCCTCTATCTCCGATGAGGAACGACTACGCCTTGAGGCTGAGGAAAAGGCCCTTTGGAACCGTATTGATGCTCTCGTCCTTCAGTGGATATATGGTACTATATCTCACGAGCTCTTACACACAATTCTGGAACCAAACTCCACTGCCATGGCCGCCTGGACTCGCCTGGCTGATATATTCCAGGATAACAAAAATTCCAGAGCCCTTCATCTCGAGGACAAATTCTCCAACACTCGTTTGGAGCAATTTCCCTCCATCAATATCTCGGCTTACTGTCAGGCTCTTCGTACCATTGCTACTCAACTAGCCAACCGTCGGGTCTCTCCGGTCAACGAGAACCGTCTTGTGCTCCGCCTAGTTCATGGCCTGCCTCCGGCCTGTGAGACTGTTTGCATCTTTCATTCAACAAACAGAACCCTTGCCGTCGTTTGAGAAAGCCCGATCCATGCTGCTTCTGGATGAAACACGTCGTCAACATCAACTTGCCATATCCCCGGCCTCATCCACTGCTTCCGCGCTTGTTTCGACGACGACTTCCCGTCCGGATGCACAGGCCACCCTTCGGTCCTCTTATGGTTCCCGTGGCCGCGGAGGAGGGCGTCCAAGCTCTGGCCGTGGCAGGAGGACGCGGTGGCCGGGGCGGTGGCCGTCATGCCGACCTGCCTCATGGATCAACTGCTCCAGTCCCGTCTCCATGGGCTATACCACCATGGGCTGCATGGATGCCGCATTTTTGGAAACATGCCACCGTGTCCCTACCCTACAGTTCCAGGTAATCCGGTTGCTCCTCGTCACCCTTCTGCTGGCATACTCGGACCCCGCCCTCAAGCTCTCACCGGTCGGACCCATGGCACCTTCTCCCACTTATGTTCCCACGGATGTCTCAAATGCCATGCATGCTTTGACCCTCAATCCTCCTGTTGACACGTGGTATATGGATACAGGGGCCTCCTCACACATGACAGCAGACCCAGGTACTCTCTCGTCTTTATTAATACGGGCTCTAGACACAGTATCATGGTTGGTAATGGCTCGTCCATTTCCGGTGACGGTCACGGTCACACAAAATTACCCAACACCACACCCCCCTCTACACCTTAACCATGTTCTACACACTCCACATATTATTAAGAACTTAATTTCTGTACGAAAATTCACTACTGATAACCGTGTATCTGTTGAATTTGATCCACTTGGTTTTTCTGTGAAGGATCTTCGTACAAGAACCTCGATCATGCGATGTAACAGTCAAGGTGATTTGTACCCGGTGTGTAGCCCATCCGTCCGTTCGTCTGTTTCCGGTTTCGCTGGCATCTCCTCCACCGTGTGGCACGACCGCCTTGGTCACCCTGGCCCTTCTATTTTTAGTAGTCTTCGTAATAATCATCACATTGATTGTAATAAAATATTCACACGTGTTTGTGAATCTTGTCAACTAGGAAAGCATAATAAATTACCGTTTCCTCCATCTTTATCTGTTACTTATGCTCCCTTTGATATTGTGCATAGTGACCTTTGGACGTCACCTGTTTTAAGTTCCACGGGTCACCGCTACTATATTTTATTTCTGGATGATTTCACAAATTTTCTTTGGATTTATCCACTCTGTCATAAATCCGAAGCATACTCTACGTTTGTTCATTTCCATACATTTGTACAAACTCAATTTGGCATTCCCATTAAAACTTTACAATGTGACAACGGACGTGAATATAACAATTCCTCTTTTCATAATTTTTGTTCCACCCATGGAATCCAATTTCGTTTTTCATGTCCCTACACTTCCCCACAAAATGGGAAAGCCGAACGAAAGATTCGTTCTATTAATAATATTACTCGTACCTTACTTCTCCATGCTTCCATTCCCACTCAATACTGGCCGCACGCCGTACTTATGGCTACTTACCTACACAATATTCTTCCCACAAAATCCCTTTCTTATAAAACTCCCACTCACGCCCTCTATCACCAACAACCCTCTTACGCTCACCTCCGTACTTTTGGCTGTTTATGTTATCCGCATATTCCCACACCTCATAAACTCTCCGCTAGAACTACCCCCAGTGTCTTCCTTGGGTTTCCCACTCAACACAAAGGATACAAATGTCTTGACTTATCTACACATCGTATATTCATATCTCGCCATGTCACCTTTGACGAGTCCACCTTCCCTTTTAAAACAACCCCACCATCCCCGACACCAAATTATGATTTCCTGGAACCCACCATTTCTCCATATATTTTATCCCACCTAAACCCCATCTTAACGCCTACTGTCCCACCAGACAACCATAACCCATCTTCTGGACCAAATAGCTCACCAACACATACTGCCTCACCTCCAGAAACTACCCCATCCCCTGGACCACATAACTCCCCTCCGGAAAATAACCCACCCCCCGCACCCTCCCATCCCATGATTACTCGCAGCAAAGCTGGAGTATTTCGTCCCAATCCTATCTACAATCTCCACACCCAGACCGCTGCTTTACTCACCCCATCCCCACTTCCAAAATCCCATACACATGCCCTCCGTGATCCCAATTGGAAATCAGCCATGATCTCTGAATTTACTGCTCTTATTAATAATAAGACGTGGGAGTTGGTTCCCCGTCCGCCTAACGCTAATGTCATTCGCTGCATGTGGTTATTTAAGCATAAACACAGGTCTGATGGCAGCTTGGAACGGCATAAGGCACGCTTAGTCGTAAACGGAAAATCTCAACGTCCCGGTATTGATTGTGATGAGACGTTTAGTCCCGTGGTAAAACCGGCTACTATACGTACGGTTCTCAGCATTGCTTTGTCTCACTCTTGGCCACTTCACCAATTAGCCGTCAACAACGCGCGTTCTTACATGGGTTTCTTGACGAGACTGTCTACATGCATCAACCCCCCCCCCCCCCCCCCGGCTTTAAGGACTCCTCCCGGCCATCTCATGTTTGTTTGCTCAAAAAATCACTCTATGGTTTAAAACAAGCTCCCCGGGCATGGTATCACCGCTTCGCCTCTCATGCCGCCACACTGGGGTTTAAGCACAGTCAGGTGGACCACTCCTTATTTATATATCATCATGGCAACCATACCGCGTATCTTCTCTTATACGTCGATGACATTATCCTAACGGCATCTTCCACTTCACTTCTGAACCGCCTCATCTCCCAATTAGCTGCAGAATTCTCCATTAAAGACCTTGGCCGTCTCACTTATTTTCTCGGCCTATCCGTCTCATATTCCCCCGGTGCTCTTTTCTTGTCTCAACAAAAGTATGCTGCGGATATTCTTCATCGGGCTGGTATGACATCTTGCAACCCCTCTCATACCCCAGTCGATACTAAAGCAAAGCTCAGCACCAATGCCGACCAGCCCGTCTCTAACCCTACATTATATCGTAGCTTGGCCGGTGCTCTACAATACCTCACCTTCACCCGGCCGGACATCTCCTATGCTGTCCAACAAGTCTGCCTACACATGCACGATCCCCGGCTCCAACATTTTGAGGCTCTTAAACGTATTCTACGGTATGTTAAAGGCACCTTGTCCCATGGTCTTCACTTAAGAGCCTCTGCCAGCCCTACACTAACTGCCTATAGTGATGCCGACTGGGGCGGGTGCCCGGACACTCGCCGGTCAACCTCTGGGTACTGCCTCTTCTTAGGTGATAACCTTGTCTCTTGGTCATCCAAGCGTCAACCCACCATTTCCCGATCCAGTGCCGAAGCGGAATACCGCGGCGTCGCCAATGCCGTTGCGGAAATTTGTTGGCTGCGTAATCTCCTTCTTGAACTCCGGCATCCTCTCTCTCAAGCCTCCGTAATATACTGTGATAATGTTAGTGCTATATACATGTCACAAAATCCAGTTCAACATCAACGTACAAAACATATTGAAATGGATATCCACTTTGTCCGGGAACGCGTTGCATTGGGTCAAGTTAAGGTCCTACATGTCCCTTCACGCTACCAATATGCCAACATATTTACAAAGGGTCTGCCCCGGATTCTCTTTGACGAATTTCGAACCTGTTTGAACGTTCTTCAACCCCACGCTCAAACTGCAGGGGCGTGATAGAACACATACACATGCATACGTGAGCCGAACTTCACTCCAACGGATAGCATCAATATTTATCATGTACATTTATTTGATATTATCCTATTGTACAGCTATGTAGCAGAGTTATCATTAGCTCCGTAGGTATCTCGGTTATTCAACTGATTCGTTGAATAGAAGAGTCCCATGCAGACGTCTTACTTTACCGATAATACTTGTACAACTCCTATATATATTGAAGGGATGCCAAAGGCATCGTCACGGTGAAACTATTCCTTCTAACTTTTTTACTTATTAGTTTTATACTGTATTTTAATTCATATCAATAAATACTAAAATCTTTAATAATCAATAATAAAATTATAAATCACACTAAAAACGTTTAAATTTTAGATATACTACCTCCGTCTCATTTTATTTAGCCATCTTTGACTCTTTAGTCAAAGATAGTAAACTTTGATCCATCATTTTAACTCATGTATTAATGTGAAACTTACTAAATTTATACTTTTATGATAAACTTTTTAACAAAGAACAATTCCGTTTCATTTTCATATTATCAATTTTATTGTATAAATATATAGTCATTCAAAGTTTAACTTCTTTGACTTGAAAAGTCAAATTAGTGTTAATAAAAGTGGGCGGAGGTAGTATATAGTTTGTTTCTATAATTTATAAGTTATCAATATGCTCGACTCCAGATCGAACTGAACATAAATATGCTCGAATTCAGCTTGAATAACTATTCAAACTCAAAAAAATAACGGTCGTTTTTTTTTTTTGTAAAAACAAAATATTTAAACTAAAATTTAGCCCGTGTTCGAGATTCAAGCTCGTTAAGTTTTGGTCAATAAATTAAATTCGAAATCACGATCGAACTCGAGTAGTTCGAAAAAAAACTCAGTTCAATAACTATCAGTCCTAAGCTAAACCTTTTGTATGCAGTAACGAAAATTTTTACTGCTTAGCCCACCCCACCCCTCATTCCTGGATCCGCCCCCGTAACAACAATAACAGGTACACAAAATATAATAACAATAATGATGATGACAAATTATTTGAACGTACAATATTTTGGCATCAAATAAAATCGACCACGCATGCAATTAGTAGATGCGAACACGGAGATGGATCGGAAAAATAAAGGAAATTCGATAACATGCCTGCAATGCATTATTATTGAATTGATTGACCCTTAATTGATTAGCTAGATATATAGCAGCTTCGAGCATGCATATATATGATATATTTGGATCAGTTGACCTTGGAGCAGTCAACCTGAGGGCTGATCTTGTACGGTATGGCGACACCACATGCGGTGGGCAGGCTGGCGGCGCGCCCGATTTGGGCGGTGGTGGCGCTGGAAGAAACGGTCTTGAGGCAAGTGCAGACAGTGCGGCGATCCGGGGTGGTTTGAGCGGCGGCGAACAATGACTTGATCCCGGCGCAGCACCCCGCGGGCGGCAGAGCAGCAGCCGTGCTTCCTCCCGTGACGAAGTTGAGGCAGGGTGAGAGGCTGGTCACGACGTCGTTGCATGTCAGTTGTGCTTCTGCCGCCGTCACAAAGAGCAGCAAAAGAAGAAGCAGCTTCTTCTTCCTTGATGAGGTGCCGCCACCAGTACTCATTCTTCTTCAGTTCAGATGGATCGGATCAGAAGATGTGCGTGGCCACCTGCAGCTAGATACGTGTTGAAGCTAGCTAATCAGTGCGGGCCTGATAAGTGTTACTTTTGATCCATATATATACTACGCGTATGTATAGTATATATGTGGGACGCCACCTCTACGGTGTACATATGCATGTGCCCATATATATATACACACTCACAAAATGTGCATTTTATAGTTTAAATTAATCTACCGGCAAGCTTGTATATATGCACCATGTGCATTTTATTGATCATTGCCATTTTCTTTCTATGTGCCCACACTGTTCTATGTGCCCACACTGTTATGAATCTTTTTTGGTTCTGATACACGAAGTATATATTAAGATCTTAAGTTCATTTTTTTTAAACATCTTAAGTTCATGGGAAAGTTCCCGAAATGGGACTAAAAAAGTTCGAAAATTCCAAAATAGGACTGTCATGTTTTTATTCCCAAAATAGGACTAATTACTGCCAAATTTGGAAAATACTGCCATGTTTGAAGTCTGGTACTGCCAAAACATGACAGTAATTAGTCCTATTTTGGGAATAAAAACATGGAAGTCCTATTTTGGAATTTTCAAACTTTTTTAGTCCCATTTTGGGTAATAAACCTAAGTTCATTCAGTAATTACTACTCCCTCCGTATCAAATTAATTGACCCGTTTGCTTTTCACGCAGTTTAAGACAATTACTGTAGACTTTATTAAAAGTAAGAGGTTTTTGGTACTGTAGCGACACTGTAGCGGTACTGTAGCAGTACTGTAGCTGCTTTTTGAGTGAGATTCTTTCCTAAAAGGGAAACGGGTCAATTAAATTGATACACCAAAAAAGGAAAGTGGGTCAAGTAATTTGATACGGAGGGAGTAATTAATACTACGTATCAAATTGCTTAAAATATGAAAGTTATATGAAAACATAAAATTCCTTGGCAAAAGTGCTTTCATAAAACAATACATAAATTTAACATAAATATAATCACTAAAGTCATTGTTCAAAGTTTAAAAATCATTTCGACTAAATTTTGTCGCATAAAATATATCGTTATTTAATCCTGGGCAGGAATTGAATCAAGTGGTCACTTATTTTTGCTTAAGTTTATTCTTGCCCGGTATATATGAGTGGCCATCCTGTCAGGCGGTCTGACAGGGCTCGCCGTCCAACCGAGGGCATTTGAGGTCCTTCTCAGACTCTCAATATAACTTTTTGATGAAATGTTTTGAACATGTTCTTCATGAAGTGTAGTTTATGCATACCAAACTTCAGCAAAAAATTCACTCGGGAAAGTAGTCAAATAAATTGTATAAAAAATGTGTTGTTCATATATATATAAAGCACAATTTTTTTAAAGTTTTTCTTTAACTGTCTTCACGAATGAATTTTTAGCTTAAATTTGATATTCATAAACTAGACTTATGAAAACATGGTCGAAAATTATCAAGAAAAATTTCATCAAGAAGGACCCCCAAATAGCCCGGCGTGACATCATCTGCCCAAGTGGAGATGCAGAAATTTGTGTTAAACTAATTTGTTTTTTAAAACAAAATTGTTAAACTGGCGGCCAGTTGGCAAACACGTGTCATAGGTGGGCCAGGGAGTATTTATGAATGGTTGGTGGGTAGTCGTTAGATGTCATGAATTGAAGGTAACTTGTTTCTTTGATTAGTAGCCTGGCCTACCATCCACTTACTTGTAGAGTTCATGTGCGTCGTACTTCCAATTCATAGCACATTGAATGTATGTTATCTTTGTTGCCAGGGAACTCGGTTCCCATTACCCACAGGCCACAACTCCCATAGTCCCATCCCATGTTATGATTTAAATAACGCTAACACGAAAAGCAATAATAAAAAATACACGAAATTTGTTAACTAAATTCGCCATGAATCACTACGTCTGGGGCGTTACCAAGCCAGGAATTGCTATTAATTTCGGATTAAGTGATTACAAGGGAGAGAGTTTGTATTTATAGAGTAAAACATAACCCCTAAACATAATAGGACACGCGCGCGAGGCCCACATCTGTACGGCCCAAAACTGTACGGAAACTCGCGGCTCTTCAGAAACGGACCCAAAAAAACGGATCGATGGATAGGTCTTGGACCTTGGTTATACAGTCTCTAACACCTTAGATCTCATATCTTCACTCAATGGAATGGACCACTAACAACCCACGAAATGAACAAAATCACCTTTTTAGTAGGATGTTTTGGGCTTGGTCGTATACAAAACAAGTTATTACATTGAATGAAACTACCAAACTCACACACTGTTGCCGCTAGAGATCGAATATGAGACCTCAATAGGCTTGCTCAGGCACTCAGCAATCGTTAAGCTATATGTGCACCGTGCATGCATGCACTGGCGAATATAGAAAATATATCTATTAGGGGCATAAATAGAGTAGTCAGTGAGAGCTTTTTTATTAAGGAGATCAAAGGTTAGAATATTTAATACTAGAGTCAAATATTATTTATATTAGAACATAATAGTTATTGTAAGGATCGTATATCCGTCTCCGGCTCAGGTCTTTCAACACACACTCTCACACACCACACTAAGAGGAGGCTATAGCACACACTAAGGTTTTTAGCTCAACCACTAAGTCCCTCTCAGTTCTCACACAAAGGGAAAGAGAAGGAGAGCACTGCTCTCAATAGAAGTGTTTCTCGCAGGCTGAGGCTCACAAGGAAGAAGCAAAGACTATTAATAGGCTGCCAAGGAAGTCACGGGTGAGGTCAATACAAAAGACACTCACATGCATCTTAGACAAAGGAAAGTCACAAGCAAGACCAAGACAAATGGAGTATGCAGCGGACAGAACACAGAGGGGCCAGCCAAGTGGGTAAGTCAACCCTCAAATAGGTATGTTATTGATCAGATAAAATACCAAGGTAAAGGTACCAAAGTGGGAGTAAAACAATAGGGTGCAAGCCTCAACAAATAAAGTGGAAGGGAGGCCTTGGTAGGACCAATACCTCCAACATTCTCCACCTTATTGGTCCTAGGTGGTGTAGAGTAACAAAACAAAGTTGTGACAAGACTCATCATCGCCGGGTCACCCGGAATATCAACAGACACAACGGGCAAACACTTTATTAGGCAACCCACAGTTATCCACAATCAAAGTTTAACACGCGTTTACAGGACAAGTGCTTCTCAGCAGAAAGACACTTGGTACCCATATCCGCGGGGTTAAACTCGGACGGGATCTTGCACAGCTTGACTCCACCTGCATCAACAATATCACGTATGAAATGGAACCTAACATCAATATGCTTAGTTCTATCATGAAATACAGGATTTTTGCAAAGTTGGATAGCCGATTGGCTATCCGAGAAAATGGTAACTCCCTTTTTGAGAAACCCAATTTCGGAGACAAGGCGTTTGAGCCAGATGGCTTCCTTGAACGCTTCTGTAGCTGCAACATACTCGGACTCAGTGGTAGAAAGGGCCACAATAGGCTGTAGTTGAGACTTCCAACTAATGCAAGAGCCACACAAAGTAAAAACATAAGAAGTGGTCGACTTCCTGTTATCTCTATCATTTGCATAGTTAGAATCAACATAACCAATCAATTCAATACCACTAGCACATTTAGAGAAAATTAATCCATGCTTCACAGTAGAAATCAGATATCTAAGCAACCACTTAAGAGCATTCCAATGAGGCAAACCAGGGTTGGACATATATCTACTCAAGCAACTAACCGCATATGCAATATCAGGTCTAGTGCTAACCATAAGATACATCACCGACCCTATTGCGCTGGAATAAGGCACAGATTTCATTTTCTCAATTTCAGGAGCAGTCTTGGGAGACTGGTCCTTACTTAACACAAAGTGAGATGCCATAGGGACATTAACAGGAGAAGCAGATAACATATTAAATTTACTCAAAACTTTTTCTATGTAAGAAATCTGATTCAAAGTAAGAGTACGCTTACTCCTATCCCTAACAATGTTTATGCCTAGGATCCTCTTGGCATCACCTAGGTCTTTCATGGCAAAATTCGCACAAAGACATTTCTGCACATCTTTAATAGCATTCAGAGAAGGACTAATTATCAGCATGTCATCCACATAGAGTAACAAAAATACAGGCACAGAAGAAGTATTTTTGAAATACAGGCAATGATCACAAACAGATTTCTGGAACTTCAAAGATATCATGCATTTATCAAATTTGATGTTCCACTGCCTAGGGGATTGCTTCAGGCCATACAAAGCCTTCCTAAGCAAACAGACATGCTCACTTCTCTTGGGATCCACAAAGCCCTCAGGCTGGGTCATATAAATTGTTTTATCCAATTCACCATGCAAAAATGCAGTAGTTACATCCATCTGTTTCATTTCCCAGTCATAGTGAGCAACTAAAGCAAGCATCATACGAATAGTGGTGAATTTAACAACAGGAGCAAAGATTTCTGCATAATCTACCCCCTCTTTTTGAGTAAACCCCTTCGCAACCAACCTAGCCTTAAACCTAACATCACTAGGTTCTTCCTTAACCTTAAACAACCACTTACACTCAACTACGGAACAGTTGGGAGGTCTAGGTACAAGGGTCCAAGTCTGGTTCACTCTCAAAGAGTCCATCTCACTTTTCATGGCACTAATCCATTTCTGAGACTCTTTGGAACCTAAGGCTTCACGGTAGGTCATGGGTTCATTCAGCTCTAGGGATTCAAACACAGAAAATGCAAACATAGAAGTATCATGCACAATGAAAGCATAATCAGGCATACTATCAGCAGTTCTCCTGATAGCCCTTCTACTCCTATCTCTAGCAAGTTGATAATCATGCAAATTATCACTACTAGGTTCCACATGCAACTCATGCAAATTATTGTTATCATGAAAATCAGATTCAGCACCCATATCATGCAAATCATGCTCAGTATCATGCAAATGCTCCACCTCACTCGAGGTGGTGGGACTATCATGCTCAGAGGAATCAGAATCATGCATAACAATATCATCAGTAATAACAGGATCAACAGATAAAGGACTAGCAGCAACAGGGACAGACTCCACCTCACTAGGAGTACTATCAGACCTAGACTCAAGATTAGAAACAGACTCGGTCAAGCAAGGAAAATCAGTTTCATTGAACACCACATTTCT